TTTTGGAAGAAACTTTTTTCAGAAGAGATCTTCCCAAAAAACTTCTTCCAAAAGAGAGTGTCCACACACAACAGTGCATCAAAAAAGCGATCTGCTTTTTCGAAAGATAGCATCCATTCAGTGTGGATGCTATCTCATTTTTAAGCTCTGATTACAATGGACGGAGTGGCCACCAGGGCACCTGTGCTTTTTCCTCTTTCCTCTTCTTTTGAAAGAACTCCCAATTCCTCTTCCATACACACCTTTTTCCAAAAGAGCTCTTTAAGAAAAAAGCTTCTTCCTCATAGAAGGAAGTTTACAAATGCTGGAAAACCTCCTCTGTTCTTTTGATTTACTTTCAGAAGAACGTGATTGCAGTGTGGATGTTACTCAGGTTTTGTTGAAAAAAACCAGCCTTTTTCCTGACAGAACTCTGTAGTATAGACATACCCATAATTTTGTGTAACTGTTCGTTGCAATGCAGTTGAAATAGTTTACTCTGACAAAGAATGGCTACTCTGCTGAAGTATTTCAGGATACTTCTGGTATCCCAAAATAACTATTCCTGCGTCTTTTGAACAAGCCCGTTATTTTGAAATATAACGGGTTCACTATTTCAATGTCCCTGAAAACCTCATTCCATGAGGAGTAAGAGCACTATTCTGAAACGTCCCTATTTCACAATTCTCTCGAAATAAGCTACGCAATTTGTGTAACTCAAATTGCATAGCTTATTTTGAGCTACAGGTGCAGTGTAGATGTGCACAATTTGACCAATAGCCTATATATGTATATCCTATTCTATCCTGGTCTCATTGACTGAATGGCCATTTATTTTAGTGGAAACAGAATTGTGTTATAAAATCCTAATGGTAATAGCCTATAGTTATAGATACATGCTTGTCTGTTGATGTTGATATGATTCAAGGTCTGGAATAATGGCAACTAGCACTAACACTTAAAATATTTAATAAATTTTAAGGCCAAAAAAAGGATCATAACATATTTTAGTCCAGGGGTGGGCAATAATTTTTGCAGGGGGGCTACTTCACCAACTTTGTTTCATGGCAGCCAGAAGGGGTAGGGCCTTAAGCAGAAAGGGTGTTTCCTTCAACCAGGACCTGGGGGAAGGGAGAATGTGCAAAGCTATTTGCTGTTCCAAATGGCTGGCGGCTCCCTCTAAGCACCAGACACTTTGAACAGCGAAAGATTTTGTGCAGTTTCCCATTCCCAGGTCTCGATTGGCCTTGGGGCAGGGAAGCAGCAGGGCAGGCCACAGACCAGATCAAATAGCATGGCGGACCAGATCCAGACTCAAGGCTGTATTTTGCCCATCCCTGACCTAGTCTGACCTCTGAATAACATAAAGCACAGAATTTCATCCAATTGCTCTTGTACTTAGCCCAATAACAGTGTTTGACTGCATTGTCTTGACACTAAACCATCAAAAATGGAAAATCTACCATTTATAGGTATTTACAGGTCAAAAATAGGATATTTCTACAGGAATGTCATTACATGACACTTAGCAGCATCTGTGTAGTCTTTATCAGAGGGGTAGCCGTGTTAGTCTGGACCTGCAAAAGCGACAAGGAGTCCTGTGGCACCTTGTAGACTAACAGATGTTAGCATAAGCATAAGCTTTCGTGGGCAAAGACCCACTTCTACAGATGTATGTGACGAAGTGGGTCTTTGCCCACGAAAGGTTTTGCTCCAATACATCTGTTAGTCTATAAAGTGCCCCAGGACTCCTTGTTGCTTGTGTAGTCTTTATACTTTCTCAGATACTTTTCCAAAAAGCCTCTTTTAAAAGAAAGCATCTAGACTACAGCCAGTACTTTCGCTTCTTTTCCAGGCAGTCTGGATGCTCTCTTTCGAAAAAGCACAGTTCGTGTTCAATAATGCCTTTTTTCGAAAGAGCACTTTTTCGATCGCGGAAAACCTTTTTCGACCACAAAAGTGATCTTTCGAAAAAAGGCGTTATTCCTTGTAAAATGAAGTTTTCCATGATCAAAAAAACTGCCGCATTCTTTTGATTTACTTTCGAAAGAACACGGCAGCAGTCTAGACGCAGGGGAATTTTTTTCGAAAAATGACCACGTTTGTAAAAAAAACCCTGTAGTCTAGACACACCCTAAGGGTATGAATGCACTGCCACCCTAGTTCGAACTAGGGTGGCTAATGTAGGCATTCGAACTTACAAATGAAGCCTAGGATTTAAATATCCCGGGCTTTATTTGCATGTTCCCGGGCGCCGCCATTTTTAAATGCCTCGTAATTTGAACTAGCTGCCCGCGGCTACATGCGACACGGACTAGGTAGTTTGAATTAGGAGCTTTAATTTGAACTACCAAGTCTGCGCCGTGTGTAGCCGCAGGCAGGTAGTTCGAACTATGGGGCATTTAAAAATGGCAGCACCCGGGAACATGCAAATAAAGCCCGGGATATTTAAATCCTGGGCTTCATTTGCAAGTTTGAATGCCTACATTAGCCACCCTAGTTCGAACTAGGGTGGCACTGTAGACATACCCTAAGAGTCCAACATAAAAAAAATCTCCAGGAAAAAGGCTAGACTCAGCTTGTAAAGAAATGTACTTTCTAGTGATACAGATGGCTTCTTCCCTCCTTTCCTGCCCTTTCTCGTAAGCATCGTACAGACTGAAAGCATTTTAGGAGATTGTCTTGCCTCATCTTCAAGACACTTAACTTCCCTTTCAAAGCGGTTAGTCAGAATCTCTGGGCCTCTCTCCCTGTTTACAATCAACTAAGGAAGAAAACACAACTGGTTCAAGAGCTGGACACTAAGAAACCTGACTCTTAACATGTCAGTGAACTATCAGCACGTACTGAAACCATCATACAAAAGATCCGTAGCCTTCAGTAAATAAATGATTGATTTTCTGACTCTTGTATTTTTGGGGGAACGTAAAGGGGAGTGGTTGGCATCATGGCCATTCATGGTATTGTGAAATGCTTAATTAATTTTCTTAACCATCTTTAACTACTAGAAAGCTGTTGAAAGCAAAGGATAGGTCTGAGCAGAACATAGTAACAGCTGCTGCTGCTATTGCTGCTGCACTATGCCCTACATGCTGTGCAGCAACGTACAGTAAATGGACTAAAAAAGTTTGACTGTACCCTGCTGAGAATGGCAAAGATTGGAGATTTTTACATACATATTTTATAAACAGCAGCCTTGTCAAGATGTGGTACAAGTGCTTTTTATTAATACTACAAGCCTCTTAAACTAGAACACATTATTTGATAAAGTTTTATTAAATACAGGTTGGTGGATGGAGTAATTTGTATGTGGACCTTTTTGAGTTAAAGAGGGAATAACTACACAGGGTTCTGGTATTAATTAACTACTGAAGTTTTTTTTTTTTTTAAAGCTGTATAATTCTTTTAAAGCAACAGAGTCTACAAAGAAAAACAATGCTGTATTAACAGAATAATTATGCGATTCTAAATAGATTGCTTCACATTTGGTGGCAGGGAAAAAAGGAGAAGTTAAACACAGCGCTACATTTCTCACTTCCTTGGTCTCTTTTGCTTCCATGTCATCATTTTCTCAGACTGCATGCGCGTGTGCACACACACTCATTTTAAAGACAGCACTGTGAAAATGCCACAATCCCTTCTTTCATCACCCCACCCACTTCAATCTGAAAGCCAAAATCAACTAACATTTAATTAAGACAAAATAACTCTGATAGAATTATTATTGTATCCCAGAGGTCCCAGCTGGGTACCAAAACTCTCTTTTGCTAGGCATGGCCCATACATTTAAGGAAGTCCTGCCCCAAAGAACTTACTTATAGTTTAAGTATGTGAAGTGACACAATAATGGAAGAAAAGCAAAGAGGCGGGAGGGGCTGGGAGAAGGAGCACAAGGTAACAGGGAGATTATGATTGGAGTAATAAACATCTGTCACAATACGCCAGCTGCCTAGTCTCTGTCAAGTGGTTTGTAGGCATCCTGATAAATGTGAGTTCTAAGGAGGCATTTGAAGAAAGCCAATGTAGTGGCCCTCTATTATTTTTAAAGGAGCACTCTCCTTTAAAAATAACTTTATTAAAGTTATTTTTCTTTTCAGTATAGTCAAATCTACCACTTAGCTATTCCAAATACAGATCAAACAACTTGCCTTGTTATCTCTGCTTTAAGTAGAGATGCTGAAGTAGTATGAGCCAAATTTTGTTGTCAGTTACATCAGCATAAATCCAGATTAACCCTAATTTTGATTGAACATTTTATGATTTAGCTTCACTAAAGTCAGTGGCATTGCACTAATATAAATGAGAGCACAATGGACTAGATTCATTCCTGGTGTAACTTCTCTTGTTTCTTTAGCAATGCTGTTCTTTTCACCTGCACACACGTACATGCACACACACACTGAACATTCAAGTGTTGCACATGTATGTGGCAGTCATGTATAGAAAATGATGGGCAATAGGATGACTTCTTCTACCACTGTACTAAAGTTTAGTGTGGTAGAATAATATAAACTAGATCTTATTGACACAAAACCTAGACTTGATACTTTAGTTCTAAAAATGAGGTGGTTTTATGCACACTGTTTAGACTGGTGAACAGCATTCTCCTTTGCCCTTGCTCTCCTCACCTACTTAGCTCTTTCAACAGTGGCCCTTTGAGTATCTTGATCACCAGCTCAGTTATTTTGGATCTCTTAGTTGTGTCCTTACGAAGGCCTCAATTCAGGACATAAGTTGTTAAGTCCATCCCTAGACAGGAAACACTTAAGCACTGGGACTTGCACATGAAATTACATGGTTTTTGGAATTGGTATATTTTACTGAATCAAGGCCTAAATAATAAATCCTGCCTTAGCTCATTGGTAAGCCATGTACATACCACCTATCTGCAGGCAACACTGACCATTTTAGAAATTCTTAGAACCCAACCAGATGGTTTTCGGTGTCATGCAGGAAAGTGTTGTCCTTAGCACTCAAATTGCTCTCACTTATGATTTGCCTAGGTAGCAATGGATTCTTACTTTGTTTCAGAAAGGCGTTGTTCCCCTCACTCCCTTGTGGCTTGCTTCAATTGCTTTCTTGAGGTGGATCCTTAAAGAAATAGCAATCAGAAAGTTGCTAATTGCTTTTTTTATTTTATAGTGCCAGCTTTGATTTTATTTTCCTCTGGCAATAAAGTATTATTAAGAGTTGATGGATTTGATTTTTTTCCCACTTCTAAAAATTCCCAACAAATGCTCAGTTAGTGTTTAGTTTCCCTTTGTGGAGGCAAATTTCATAATAAATAAACAAGACCCTGAACATGCATTTGTATTTTGTACATGAGCTGCATTTTTTCTATCATTTTGAGAAGGCTGGCATGAGGCCAACTCAGAAAGCAGTTTTTGACATTTCTTTAACTCAATCCAAAATGTAAATTCCTCTTAAGGAAAAAAAATAAAACTTTAAACCTTGGAAGGAGTAACCAGCTGACCAGATTGCCAATCCACCACATGTAGAGAACACTTTCAGTACAAGGCTGTCTTCACAGCCACACCATTTGTTTGTTATATCAAGCTGTGTGTTAGAAAACCCTGCAGCAGAGGTGTGTACTTTATATATCTATTTATTTTGATTACACAGAGCTTTGCAATATTGATCATGAAAAGTACTATATAAAACAAGTTGCTGATATATATGGCAGTGAATTTGGCAGGGTTAACTGTTTTGCCTAGAAAATGGGCCTAACTTTCTTAAAAGTAAGTCAGAAGTTAATAAATCTTATCTCCATCTGCCCTGAGTTTCTCTGCTTATTGTAATAACTCTGATGTTTTACTAATTCTATTTCCAGCTCTATAAGGGCTGCTGCCTCTCTTGCTCAAGCTCTCTCTCTCTTTTTACTTCTAAGTCAGTAAACTATGATGTATGTGTCTCTCCCTGAATAACGTTATTATATGATGCTGCTGGAGCACTGAATAGCCTGGCTGTGGAGTCCTGGACC